GATGAAAAAAATTTGGCCATTATTAACAATCGTGAAAAAAATATAGATATGTCTATAATATTACTTTCTTTAGTTTTGCTCTCGCTTATTGTTTAATAGTGCTTGTTGGTACTAGCTGAGAAACTAGTCAACGGTAGGTTTTTATGTGGTATTGAACTATTTTTATTTTCGATCTACAAAACAAAATTCATTCGTATAATTAAATAAAACTCTTAACAATAGTGCCTATTTTGTTGATGTCTCACATTACCCATTTATCTCGCAAATAAATATTTTTGTGTGTATTATTGACTCTATCTACTAGGGAATATCTCGATCTAACTACCGTAATATGATCAGCCAATGAAGGTATTTATTCTTAAGTACAGTAGCTCTCTGCCTCTTATTGTGGGTTGACCCACTTAACAGCCAGCCAAGAAATAATTCTCATGCTTCCGTGGCAGACAGTGTTCGTTTGCACATGGGTCATCTCCTGTGTTCTGTAAAGGGCGTGAAACAATCTTAACTATGGAACACAACGTATTACATTGTGAAAGTAGCAGAGACTCGTCAGCAATACTGCAATGCAATACTCTACGATTGAGATTCTAGAAAATGATTATTTTTTAGGCTCTTCTTTATACAAGTGTGTCGTTTTATTTCTCATCTGACAGAAGAGTTGTCTTTTTTCGATCTCTTGAACAGCCCTACCCAAATTTTAGTCAATGATGTTTCACTTTCGTTGTACAAAATGAGTCCAAAACACTGCAAATTTGAGAAATACAAGTATATAAAATTATATGCATGATAAATGAGTACGTAGTCCAAACTTTTTTATACAAACTTGTTTTTAACACTAATTATAAATAAATTAATTTATAGTTTAAACCTACAAAACTCATGCTGCAAATTTTCGTCAGAAAAACTATTATTGCTGGGCCGTAGTAACGAAAACACTTGATAAATCCTTTTCCAATATAGTAAATTACTTTGTCTAACACGTGAGGTATCCAGAATCCGGTTTTGTAGGTCCTTAATACCGAAAAATCGATTCATGGCAAAAGTCTGCCGTAGTCCCGCCTACCCGCCCCGCATCATTTCGTTGTAGAACTATTGTGACTGTAATTTTAGGGGAATTACTCTAACTTTTAATGTAAATAATGATAAAACTACTTTTTTCTGTACTAGTCACCATTATAATGTACATGTGAACTGTTTTACACTAAGTAGCTATGAACTCTGTTTATAGGTATCAAGTGTTAAACAAAAAGTTCCAGTTTTTATGCAACTGTTTTAGGAGATATTTGTCCGTTCTTAACGATTTTGAGTGAGTGAGTTCAAGTGAGTTTTCAACTCATGAGCAGTAGGATGAACGTTTGTATGACTAGATGGAGAGTTGGTTGGTTTGTCTATTACAACCGTGTATGTGTATGTTACAGAATGTCGTAGTCAAGGAGATATTCACAGTTTCTAAGGTAGTTAGAGCGAGATATTCCCTAGTAGATAGAGTCCATATTACGTTCAAATATATTTATTTGCGAGATAAGTGGGTATTGTGAGACCTACATAAACAAAATGGGGAGCTTTTATGCTGAGTTTTATTTAATTATTCGATTAATTTCGTTTCATAGATGTAAAATATTTTTTTTTAATACCATATAAAGAGCTACCATTGACTAGTTTCTTAACTAGTACCAACAGATCGCGTGGCTACAGAATAAAAAATTGAAGCATAAGATTGAACATAAAAAAGCACTATTACACGATTAGTAAGAGCCAAATCATAAAAAGTAACATTATAGGCACATATCAATATATTCTTGTACAATGATCACTAATAATGTCAAAAAATTTCCACGTTTTAGTGGGGCGAAAAGTCTTTCGTAAATTGGGCAACACCGTAATGTTCTTGAGATTGGCTTGACTGCTCAGGGCTCATGCTGCTTCTCAAGTTTCGTTGTTTTCAATCACTTTGAATACTGTGTGTTGCATGGTCGACACACGGTTAAATCGCACATTAAATATCACAATCTGAGCGAGTTACCGGAAGGTTTATTTCTAAAGCGGAATTTGAGAGATAACGTAATAATTTCCCCAATATCACGGGAACAGTGACGTAATAAAGTTTTCAAATATTTTTTCAATGTTTGTTTCTTGTTTCAAATTTTGTATCATGCTATGGTATTAATTTATATGCAGATTATTGTGTAAAGTACACATCAAACTAAAGCTGATAAAATGAAATTGCTGCATCATATAATTCTGAGAGGTGTATTATTGAGACTGACAATAATGAAATTATAACATTGTTGGAGATAACATTTTCAAAAGAGATTTACAAGTGGCATAGTCTCTTGTAATCGTTTATCTTTCATAAAAATATTTAAAACTAAAAAATTAACTATGAATAAATCTAAAAACAATAATTATGATAGAATAAATCATTGTTCCAATACAGATGTGAATTAACAAATTGTTTGCAAAGTAGAAAATGCTTTTTTTAAATTTCTCATTTACTAATACATGTTTGGTTTCTTATTGCTTATTCAATTTATTTATAGAATCAAACATTGTAGTTCAGTAAACTATTTAATTAATTATTATTCAAATAAAAACATTTTATGAAGTTTTTAATTTTTATTTTATTTTTAAATCCAGGCACGGGATGGGAGTCCTAAGCGTAATATTGCTAGGAGGAAATCCCGTTTTGCATTCACCTATACCTTGAATGGTTGATATTAACTCCAGCATAATAGTATTTTATCATTGCAACACATTTGAAGCTACTAAAAAGTCTATTTCTTTACGAATTGAACGCCCACTCAGTAGCCCTACAGATTGAGGTACTGACCTATGCTAAAGATTGCTGCTTTGAGTCTTGTGTATGCAACTGTTGTGCAAAAGACAATGACAATCCACAGTGTATTTCCACAATAAAAAAGAGAATATGAATAATTTTCGAATAATTGGATAAATAATCATTGTTCACGAGCAAAAAACTGACATACGCAACAATACAAAATAATACTCTACTGAATGTTTAAAAACTATTAACTCTCAAGATCACCCATTTTCTCATAAGAAGTAGTATAAAAGTGAGTTATTGGGAATTAATTGAATTAAGATTTTCATTCCGATTACACTAATGTTCCCCAGAAGTGAGGCTATTTTAATTGCTCCCAGAAGAGCTTCGGGAATGGACGAACTCTTGAGGAATTGTCACTCGATTTGAATGAAGCGCTTTGCGCGCGCGGTGTTGCCGATTTGCGCGCGAATGTTTCCCTTTGGACTAATGTAGGCTTATAATTTTGCAAAATTCTCCCATTTGAAACTGTTGATGACCTTCAAATTGCGTTTATTGATTCATCGAGAAGCTAGCTACCAAAAGAGTTTTTAAAAACATTTTCAGCAGTTAATTTTCTCACAATTTTAAAATTTCAGGTCAGATCTGTTATGTCACTATAAGAGCCCATGTTAAAACAGCAAACTTCACGGTCTCGTTACGCGAAAACAAGACGGTAAAATCGACTCAAACTCTGCCAGAACATAGAAGAACCTCTCATCTTTCGATTAATACATTAAAAAAACGTGTTAAACATAATACTTATCTCGCTCTAACCATCTTAAAGTGGGAGTTAATTATAAAGAAGATTATGATTCAATGAAGATGGTGGCCCGCCTGCCCGCCCCTCTATCATTTTGCCTTGTTTAGGAATGAAATGTTGACAAAGTCATGTTTCTGTGCAGTATATTTTCCTAAATACCATTCTATCTCCTCGATAAAACGTTTGGAGCTAATAATTGTTATTTTTTCGACACTTCGATAAATCGGAAGAAGTTTAGCAATGTTTAAAAACAAATTATGTTCTACCTTTTTATGGTCGCTTCAGTGTCTGTTGATATGTCAAAAAACTTTCATAAGTAATCTTCACATCTTCAGATTTGATTTTGGAATTAAAGGTTTTTGGTGAAGCATTTTTTTTTTTTTTAATCCTGAACAATTTTTTATTTTTTTTAAAATTTCCTACGCAAAATGTAAATAAAACTTTTTTTTTTTCTTTGGAGAAGTAGGTAGAATTAGAATGTCGAAAACCAGTTGCTAAATTATTTCAAGTCATAAAAAGTAAAAATGTTTCACTTGGGGACCCTCATCTCATTGTACATTTTGAGGAGTATTAAGTCAGAGAAACCAGGATAACACTGGGAATTTAGATTCAGGCAATTGGTAGGCATCTTCAATCTAGAAATGAGTGAAGGCCAAATTGCCATGAATGTTCTTTTGGAAATGAGTTGTTACACTGGTTGATGAAACTGGTATATGTTAAAAATTTGAAGTACTAATTTCTTCTCCGAGTTTTGTCATTACGAATGACACTTTTGCCTATTATGAATTGAAACATAAGCATAATAAATGGTTAATATATCTGGTTGCTCAGTTGGTCTTTTTAAACTGATGTGTTAAAATTATGCGACTCAAGTGTTTTAAGGTATGCTTTGCAATTTTGTTATTAAAAACGCCTCATTAAACATGCTCAAACATTGTTTCAAGCTATATATCCTTTTAGTTCTTGTTTGGTGACTCATCAATTTTAGTATAGTGAGCATTCATTTACTGAGACGCTCAGATTTTTATTGGGCATAAAGATGGTTTGCTTGCTCCTTATTGATATCTCTGGCTACAAGAACTACATAGTGTTATTCATGAGTATTTCTTACAGTTACAGCAGTGGAAGCATTAAACTTATCTCTCCCAATTTATCAAATTTGATTCCTCCATACCCTGAATGCAATTCTAATGTGTTTGGTGAAAATTGGACTTTGTCATAAATGAAAAAATACAAATGACATAATTGCTTATTGTATCATTTAATAGGTTTAGGTATAATAGCAATGTAGTATTTCTGAGAATGAATTTTTAATTACATTTCAACAAGGATGTGTAATCAACTGTAATAACATCCAAAACAAACAACAAAACAAATTTTGCCTATTTTCTTTTTTTTTTTCTTCTTCTTCTTCAGAGTCTGCTGAATCCCCCTCGTCCACTGAAGCTGAGTTTGAATCTCTGGTGCCTGACTCTACTGCTACCATCCCTTCTGTTGGAAATGATTCTGCAAGTCCATGAAACCACATACCTACCATCTTCTCATCGAAGTTGTTAGGTTGCAACCCTCATCTACATACTGTTTTTTTTTTTTTTTAATTTTCTAATATTTTTTTAAAATTTTTTGTTGTTGTTGAACTGACTACAGTACTCACATTGAATACTGATTGATCAAGTTCTAAGTCTGTTTTCCCATATTATGTGGGCAGTGCCATTACTGTTATTTTTATAAAGGAAAGATTGAAAATTATCAAATATGTGTTTATGAAATGTATGACTCTTGATGATGATGATGATGATGATGATGTTAATGATAATGATGAGTTGGCTGACAAAGATTACAAAAATATGAGTTCTAACTTGAAGCTAGGAAAGTAACAAATAGAAAAAATTGACCCATAATATAAATTTAAAACTCAAAATTTTGAATTCTGGTTTTGTGGACTGTTATAATTAATATGATGTTCACATTTGTGTATTGATATTTAGGGGTTAGTATTTTTCTCTGATTACGATACATCATTGGGGTTTTATACTATTGTTTTGATCCGAAATTAAATTCTGCAAACAGGTATGGTTACTGCCTACATGTGATGCTAGTGTGTCATTTTTATGCCATTTAAGGGCACATCATCGCACTTAATTAATTTGCATGAAATTTTCTATATAGAACTGTACGGTAATTTTTAAGATCTCCCATTTCAAAATTGGAGTGTTGCCGAGTGTTGGCTAGTCATATTGGCTGCCGTGTTAATTGGCAGCGGCGTTGATTGAGGAGCCGCATGCATTTCATATTTTCAGGTCTTTTATGAAATTGAGAGCAAATTGTTGTATATGGTATTGTAAATTAATTACAATTATTTTTCTCCGTTCTTGTTTTTTTGTGTTTTAGTATTTATGATAGTGTATTTGCTTATGTTAATATTTTCTAGAGATGTGCGAACATGGACATTTTTGAATTGAAGACATTGGTAGTGAACTATCAGACACGGATCTTCTTAAGTACTTACTTTCTAATCTTTAGATAAGCTTATTCACTTGGGTTATTAATCATTTACTCATCTATTTAATCATTTATTTCACTATTCATTACATATCATTTTTCTGTTCTCTATTCAAGATAATTGTTTAAAGCTGATTGAAATTGATCTGTCAAGATTCCACATCATTATTTGTTTTATTAATGTATGGTTAATTACACATATAACTTGCACATATTTTTCTTCTATCTTATTGCACATTTCCTTCTTAAATGAATTATGTATTTTTCTGATCATTAAGGTGACCAAATCAAGGAAATAGCAGTGCAAATCCCTTGTGAATAATGTGGTACTTTGCATTTTCTACTTCAGAGAAGATTAGGTCACTTGTTTTAACCAGGGTTTATTGCACAAATCTCGGATAATTGAAAATGAATGAACAATAGCGGAAAGTTTTGCATGCCTTGTTTTTGGAGACAGTCAATTTTTCCCTTTTAAGATGTCTTTGCTGACTTTTTTGTTGTGTATTTCATATAAGTCTGCTATAAATTTGTTTTCCTGACTGTTAAGTTTGCTTCAAGTATTAATAAAAAGTGTATTCTGCATGAGATGTATTGAACATGTAAAAATATCCAAAGAATCTTATTTTTAACGTGTTTTTCCTTCCATAAACATTTTAATGTAATGGTGGCAGAGGGATTATGAGTTTGCTTCTTTTGTTTTGTGAAATCATCTAGTTATTTTGTTTCCTATCTTTTCTTTCTTTTTTGAGTATTTTTTCTTGTACATAAATATAATGTGACAACACCTCTGTTCTTATACATGCTGATTGTGTGACTGAATATTTTTTAATACAGTCACACTGTATGTGTGGGTAATGTACAAGTATAAAATATTGTCTATCATAAGTGAAACTTTCAAAATGTAATAAAAAAATATTTGGGGCCTGTACAAGTTTGACTCGCAACTAGAACTTTCAAGCTGCAATTGCAACTTTGGAAATTTTGATATTTTACCTATTAACTACCAAACACCATACATGAGCTTCATTTCCACGAGGAAAAGTAAAACCCTTCAAGATTTTGAGTGACTGGTTCAACCCATGAGCCATAGGATGAAAGTTTGCATGACTAATGGATGATTAGTTTGTCTGTCTATTACAACCATGTATGTGTGTATATTACAGGATGTCATAGTCAAGGAGGGATTCAGATTTTTTTAAGTGGAAGTCATTTTATTTTATTTTGGTTTTATTCTATATATATTTAATAAAAATTTTAAAGAAGATAATGATTTTTAGTAACCATTCTATCCGTGGTGATTCCCCTCTCTTTCTTTGACATCTTGTGTACGTGTTGAATTGAGTAAATATGTATATAATTATTGCAAGCTTCATTACTGAATTTCATTTTGCAAGTTGATTGAATTTGGAATAATTATTCTTTCAGTTATCAGTTACTCTGGCATATTTGTTGTTCTCGTTTGCTGAAAGCCTTATTTGTTTATGAGTGACCCCAACATTACTGATAATTGTTAGAGAAAAGATATTTATATAACTGTATAGTAACCATAAATCATTGTTAGAAATTAATATTGTTAAATTTATTCCGGTATTTGACATCCTAAAGACTTAAATTTTGTAAAAAATTAAAATTAAAATTAAAAAAAGTTTTTAAAATCAAAATTTTTTTATACAGTAGAAATATTGAAATGGCACATGAGTAATTACAGTATGAAGTAAAACAATATTATCTTATTATCTAGTATCTGCGATGATTTTCATGCTAGATTATATGTTCAAATGTGAGTCTTACTTCAAAATATTTTGTATAAATTATGAAATATAAATACAAATCAGGAGTCATGGGCTTCTTTTAAGCTAAGAGTATACTTTTGGGAAGATTAATAATTGCATAAAGTAGAAAGTGGATATTATTGGTGAGAAGAAAAAATATCGAAGCATTTTTTCTTTTAAAAAAATTATCATTTTGACATTTTCAATAATTACTTTTTTCATGTGCTCCTTCAATAATTCTTATTGTTTCAGTTGTAGTGGTGTATTCTATTGAGTGGCCTCTGAAACAAGAAATTGGAAACTTAGCCAAATTGTGGTTTTTTGAAATTTGGTGACATTCGATTAAAATTAAATGGTATCCATTGTTCCTCTTAGGCAGTCAACTTGCAAAATAAATATTGCATTAAAGACTGTCACTAAGCATACCGAACCTTGTTATTTGTATTGAAATTTTTCAGATGAGATTGAAAAATAATTTCTGAAAATATATGTTGTTTCAAGATCCATTGTTTGTTTACTGTTTTGTGAAAACCGATCCAAAAAACAAAAAAAAAAAAGAAAGAAAGAAAAAGCTCCCAAAGAAAGATGATTTTAAAAAGAAATATTTATCACATCTCTAAAAGTTGATGTTGGGGTTTTGTGAATGCATTTTGAACATCATGAACTTGTTGTTTCATTACTAAGAGAATTATGGAAATTGTCACAGATAGAAAATAATTGTGAGGAAAATGTATCAAAGTAAAAGAACATTGAGAAATCTAGGAAAGGAAATATTTCTCAAACTGAAACTTGGAATTTTTTATAATTTTATTTTGTAGCATTATTAGGAATTTTTGTAATGTGCATCATTGATAGGAAATGGTGTGATGTTTATGACATTTGCATCATTGTAGAAATAGGTACTAGGCATTGTTCTATCACAAGTATTCATTTTTCCAGAAAGCTTTTTTGGCCACATTGCGTCCATCTTCAGTGCTACAAAAATAACAACATATCTAAATTACAATTAAAATATTATCTATTACAGAATATTATATATGAATTTTAATAAAAATTGAATTTAATGAAATAATTTAATTCAATAAATTCTGTTTTTATTGAGATAAAACTTGCTCTTCTTTTTGTAGCCTAGAAAATGGCCACAATGCCACCAAAAATGCCTTCTGGAAAAATGAACACTTACAACAAAACAACGCCTTGTATCTTTTTGTATAATGTGCATCATTATTTGACAGGAGCTAATATTTAACAAAACAGGAGAAATGTGTTATGTGAGTGGACTGTAAATGAACATCATCTAATCCCAACATCATATGATCCAGTTGATCAATTTGATAGTAGATGCCTAATGTGATTTACAGATTGTAATGTGTATTTCTTCATGCCATCTTCATTGTTTCTAGCTTTTTATTTGCCTCGTGCTTTGATTGAGAATCAACAGAGATTTCTCATTTAACTGCATGAGGATGTGAAAGTCCACAGTGTGATTAAAGTAGGAATTTTGAATTTCCTGTGTTGTGAATCCTGTCTGCGTCAAAAAACAAAATCTTTACTGTGAAAAGTACATCTTTAACATGCTATTATTGAAAGGTTATGAATTAAGTCCCAGCCCAATTATTTTGCATTAGTCAGTGATCACAATGGGATGTAAATAATAACTAACTGACCTTTCTAGAAAAAGAGGACAACAAACCCAACTGAGGTGTTATCTTGTTGACCAATAAAGGAATCTGTTTTTTTATAATGAAACAGAATTCAAACTACATCGAAGATCACAAAATGCCCCTTAACAGAAAAATGTGCCCAAAAAGATTACAATTGTTTCAAGAAAATATTATATGTTCAAATTTTGTTTTCCCACACAGAGTTGTTCTAACTAAGAATAATGAACACTTTTGAATACATTCAGCTTCTTTCCTAGTTTATCTGTCTCTCATTTTTCTTTTAATATTTTTGTTCTTATATCTTTTTTACACGTGAATAATTCTATTTTAATTCTTAATTTGTGTTCATTCAATTTACCATTTTATCAAATGTGCTATTGTCAGGGTTTACTGTTTTTTTTTTAAACTTTGTGCATATTCAATTTATTTTTGACACCATAAACAAAGATTTGCCCAATATTTTAGAGAAAGATGGGTGATAAGGAAGGAAAAAATGTAATTTAAAAAGAAATGTAATATTGATAGTTACATAAATGCTAATGTTATTTTTTTATGTAGTAGCTTCTAGTAAAGAAATATTGTTAATTTCTTTAATTACAAAAACTGTGTAATGCCAAGTTTCTGAGCTAACCTGTTGCAAATTTAAGAAAGGAGAGGTGTATGTGTAGTATATCTGTTTTAAAGTTTTATTTTCCTTCTTTTTCATCCCCTACTTCTCTTCAAATTAATTAGAATATCTTCTTTAGGGGGAGGGGGGCGTGTTAGTTAGTTTTGTTGTTTGTGTCACATTTAGAAAGGGTAATTATATTGTATTGGTCAATCCTGATGGCGAGGGTGGTTAGAACATCTTCTGACTCAAAACTCAATTGTGCCTAGGATCTCGGGCTCAAATTTCATGGGCTTGGATGTTCGTTGTCTTTCACGTGTGTTAAGTGGTAGCGATCCTTGCATTGTCCTGATCGCATTGACAAGAAGCTTTTGTGTATGGATCAAGAAACACTCATCAGAATGTTAAGAGTAACATGATTGAAATAAAAAAAAAAAATTAAATTTGTCATTGAAAATATTAATTAATATTTGACCTTGTGAATAAAATGTTAATGCTAGTAGTAGTATTATTGGTCTCTCCTCCATGGGGCATTACCCCCTTGGGTTAACGAATTTTTTTTGTGTTGGGTGGTGCATGTAAATGTTGAAGATTTATGGTGCTTAATAAGTGTGGTTGAAAATCCTTTCAAAAATTTAAATATTTTAACATCTATTTTCTTCATAATCTTATCTGTTTCCGTTCCTTTATTTGTACCTTTCATTACAACATTTCATAAAAATCTGGATTAGGTTGACTCGTCAGGAACTATAGTTAATAAAACAAATAACTTTTTGTAGAGATAATAAATGATATGGGAAATTGTTTTTGTGTTTTCCTTTTCAATATTTTGAAAATTTTATTATATTAGTAAAATATAGTAGATAATTGTGGTAATTTCAGTACACTAATTATTGGAATTCACTGTAACTAAAAACATCAACATGACATGAAATTGGGTTATTGTTCAGGAAAATTCATTTTCCATCACTTTTGTAATATTTTAAAATTTTCAATTCTAACTTGCTATGTCTGCACACCTCTGGAAATATTTCCACATGTTAACAGCTTGCTATTATGATGTTTCATCGACTTGTTGATAAAGTACTATTGAACCTTGTGTTCCACATTTCAGGATTGCTGTTATCTTCAATTGGCTTGAATGTGAGCTGTAGAGTGACTTCTGAAATTTCCTCACAAAAGGCATTAAGTTGTAAAGTTGAACTACCAAAAATATACACAGTGTTTCCCGGTTTCTAAACTGCTTTAAAAGTTTCTAATTGACACTTAATACTACATAAATGTGTATGCTTGTTGGGAACTATTAAAAATAGGTAATTCTTTATATTCAAAGGGTATGTGCATGTTTATTTCTGTTTACTTACTGTAAAAGAAATTTATTTCTTTTGAATGATATTGTGGAAGAATTTAGATAATTTGAAGAACAGTACTATGATCTAGACTTAGTTCTCAAAAATGATAGTAAGAATGGTAGCAAAAGAACACTCATGATGAATCTTTCAAACAACCAGCGATGATGAATAATTTGGCTATATCAGTAAAATTAAACATTTTATCTATCAATGGTCTATTCACAATTTAGAAGTATTAAATTCAAAATGTAAGAAATTACCCCTCTCCCTCTTTTGAAATGGGTGTTTATTTTGCAAATTATTTCATTATGATAAATCTTTGTTGCTCTGCATAAATATTACAGAAATGAAATTGTGCCTTGTTAATTATAAGATGAGGTACATAGGTTTGTGTGTGTTTTGCAGTATCCATTTTAAGACTTCAAATAAAATAATTATGGATTGTAGGGGAACTACATAGTGGGCATATGACATATAACCGTTACAAATTTTGGTAATTGTAATTATGGACTTTGCTAAATAAATTAATAGTAAAATGCTTCTCTATGACTAAGAACTTACAAATTTTATTTTGTTAAATTTACATTTAGAACGTAAATTAAATTCACATTTTAATTTTATTAAACTCACATAGTCTCGGTCTTGGTAAATATTGTAATGGTTTCAGGAATACTTCAAGGGACAAAACCATATTATCTTTTTGCACTGATTCTTCTGAGCATTGACAGAATAGCTTGGCTGTATTCATCTTATTTTGGTGTAAAATAGTTGGTCTCTGAGTAAAATCTTATCAGGGGAATATTTGTCAACAAAACATGACAAAACATGACTCATCAATGAGATCCTTTGAGTGTAGGTTGTTACTGTTGATAAATTCAGGATAGTAAGAAAGAAGATGTAAATAATTTACTAAGTGCTGTTCATCGTTTTCCTTTTATTAATATGTTAGCTATCATGCAAGACCATATGGTCTTGTAGCGACATTCAATTTTTTAGCAGGAGACCATGTAAGTAGGTCTTGTAAGGAGATTTAATTTTTTTTTAGTACAAGACCATATTGTCTTGTGTGTTAGCTTGTCTCTTTTATGATAATACTCGCCACTGGTCTCATTATAGTACTGACATTTGTAAAACGTTCCCGTGAGTTCATATAGACTCGTACATTTTTGTAAATGAAATTAATTCTGTGTAATATGTAAATATTGGTACAAGTTTCAGTGTTCTAGCTTATACAGAAGTGCAGCAATTATCGTTGGCACAGAAACGTAGTACGCGAAAAACCTTTACAGTGATATAGTTTAGTGAGAATTCACTTCGCAGTGAATGTGTTAAATATTTATTGTCATTAAAAAATATTAAATTCATTCTAAACTATACTTTGCAATTGCTAATATTCGGAAGTCACTAATTCTTTGTAATATGGGAACCGAAGCTTGTATTATTAATTTGTTAATCACATTGATATTTTTCTCTATCGCACATAAAATGTGTCTTCCGAGAGCATATTGAAGGAGTAAGTTCAAGTATTGTGATAAATCGTGAAAAATTCCATCCTTTTTAGGAAAATTGTATTAATATATATTTATTAGAGAAAATGTGAATTATTATTAGGAGAATGATAAAAAGGGCCTGAAATTTGATGGGTCTAAAATGCTCTGAGAATGTGAAGAGAAAGAAGTTAAATTTGACGAGAAGTGTTCACTTTATTTCAGAATGTATGAATTGTATGGATTCCAGCTTCACATGAATGAAAAACAATTTTGAATACCAGCCATTCTTCATGAAAATGACCATACCCTCCCTCCTCCATGTATATATTGTTAAATATTTTATGAATAATGCTCCAATATTTTTTTATAATGCATAACGACCCATACAAATCACTGAAGCTCAAAATACAACAATGTTATGCAATTCATAAAAAAATGAGTTTTTTGAACACACACACACACACTCACTCACAAAAATAATATTAAAGATAAACATAGTAATGAGAAACAATCTAAACTTAGAATGAGAAAAAAAATTTAAATAATGACATGAAATTTCTTAAAAATTACATAAAGAAAAAAGCAGTGTACAATGGTTTAACACAATTGCATATTTATAATACGAGACTTGAATTGGAATTTGTGTAAAACCTAGCGGAGCTTATCATTCGTTAGCTAAAAGATGATATATTGTAAAAAACTGTCCTAGTGAAGAATAAATTTTACATCAATTACATTTAGTCTTAAATTTATCATCCAAAAGGGTTCATCAATAGCATTAATTAATAAAATGTAACTTATGAATTTTTTTAATATTGACTGAAGATAAAAACAAAAGCATTGGACACCATAAATTAATATTTTGTAAATGATTGACACTGTAATATGAAACTTACTGTTGTATTATGGGAAACACTGTGTTCAGAACTGAAATTAATATGTAGTATCGTGAAGAGAATCGATGTATCATGTAATGTCATTAATCATAGTTTGCTGTTGAATTGTTCTTTTTATTTTCAACATGCAAAAATACTAAATGTGCCTTACAATAACACAAGCTAGAAGTATTGAAGAATGTTTGTGATATAAGACTTTTTTTCTAGTCACCCAGTGCTTTTTCCCACCTTATTGACACTTGTATTACATTTGCAGTGATTTATGTCCTTTCCATCAAATTATTCACATATTTTGTCTGCTTGCCTGCTGTCCTTTATTTTCTTACAAGAGAGCATAAGGAATTTTTTGAATTGAATATTGTCTACACAATTTGTAACACTGAATGCACTGAAGCAGTCATTTTCAACCATTTTAGCTCCAACACCCTCTAAAGTAAACAAAAATATTTTTTTTCAACCTCATCCCCCACCCTATAGTTAAAACTGTTAAGCTGAGTTGATAGCAATTGATATGCATATATGAATTGTTAAATGAGCATTCTTGAAGTTCAAACTTCACACACAAGTGCTCCTGGTTATTTGATCTGTTTGTATAATGTTCACTGTAAGGGCAGAGAGTAAGGGTTTCTGTCTACAATTGCCCTAGAACCTCAAAATAGGAATAGTCTTTCATGACTTGAAAATTTTATTTTGTGTTTCTGACAAATCCCCATTTTGAGAACCTTTTCACACAAATATCTTGCTAGTTTTTTTCGTGTCTGCTTAAACTGCCAGTCAAATGTTTATAACAATTGATGTTTTTCTCAAAAAACAATTTCAACATTATTTACATCTAAAATTGTGGGTTAATTTTATGACACCCCTTTCATTTCACTGCAACTCGTAGGTTGAGAAATGTTGTAATAGAGAATATTTATAATAATTGTAATGAATTATTAATATAATGGATTTGAATGTTTTAAGTCTTCCTCAGGTGAGCTCTCTAGTTAGTACATGATGTTTATGGACAAGGAAGAAGCACTGGTTTTGTCAGTGTCAGATATGAAAAGATTTTAGGTTGTGTGAAATATTTTTAAGGTGAATGCTTTTTGTAACAAGAAAGATAATATATTGTAACAGACTACATGTTTATAAGTTCTTAGTATCGTGATTTACGCATCAAATGCTGACTAGTGTATCTGATTAAATCAGAACCTGTAGAAAATAATATTTTGCAATATATAATGGAATGTACAGATGATTCTTATTTTTCATTTTGTTAGTTGCTGAGCAACTTTAGCTAACTGTATGCAAGCATATGTATTTTTTAAAAAAGAAACTCTGTCCACTTAAAAGTATCAAATGCTTTTATACAAATGTTATAAGTAAAGTATTACTCTTTCAGGTGCTTTATATGATCAGTTTAGTGTGTTTCCTGTATGAATGCTTGCTTCAGTATTTACTGTTTTGTTTTAGTTCTTTAGGACTCCAAGAGTTGTTATGGTTTCATTCGTTGAAATTGTTCAGTTTTGTATGGTAAGTACCTGTTAAAAGAGGTACGAATGTTCTCACTGATATACACTTATGGCTGTAAAATAAATAAATTGAATAAATTGTTCTAGGTTTTGCACTCCTATTTTGTACCCTCATTGGGAGAACATTTATTTGATTATAGATCCTCTGTTTATTTTAGTCTGCTGTTTTATTTTTTGAAGTGGCTTGCAACTTTTTAATTCTCTTTTGAAGCCACTTGCTCAACAGCACAACAGCTACCTAAAACAAATTTATAGAATTGTTGATAAAGATTAGTTGAATGATTCTTGGAGTATACAAAGCATACTGGAACAGTTTTAATGAAGAATGAAACTTAATGGTATGCACTTCTTTTTCCTAAAAAATTAACAATAAAATAGGGGAAAATTAAGGTTTCATTGGGAGAAAATGTATATTTTTAATTCTTACTCATAGTTTATTAGTTATTATAATAATATATTTACAGAATATAATTTATGAAGAAAATGGCAAGAGCTAGGAAGTTGAAGTTATGAATTAGAAAACAATATGACTTTGATATGTTATGAGCCACGTTTAACTGATCTTACTCCAATATTTAGGAAGCTTTTTAATGTTAAAATCTGAAATTTTTTTGAATGTTAATTTTTTCCCCCCACAGATTTGCTGCTGTACCCACAGTTAATAAAGCCCAGTTAATTGCCCGGTTAATAAAGACAAAATTGATCTTACTTTCTTTTAGTAGAGAGGAAAATATTGTAGAAATGAAGTCTGTTTCACTTGTGTAGCAACAACAGAGAAGGAAATATTGTACTGGACGATGGTGTTGCAGCGGATCAAAGAAATTGTTATATTTTAAAAACTTGTCACCTACAATGTTATAACTTCTCAAAGGTCCCTTCGAGACTTGTGGGACTCGGCATACAAAATTTAATCAAAATCCATGATGGTGGCGCTAGGCCCTTCTCCGAAATTATACCATTTGAGATGGAACAAGATTTATCCAGTGTTTCGACATCAGGGCCCCACTGCGCGTTTTTCTGACAAAAAATTCCTCATCCTATTGCAGCATTACAATACTTTATGTGTGTTACGTAAGTACATAGTATGGTGAGAAAATAAAATTACATCTTTAAATAAGATCCTGCACAATTTTTTTGTAGCAAGAGTAATAGTAGTCGCATAATTTTGCGTAAAAAAAGACAAATTGTTTTTTTAAATGCGTTATGAGAGATGCTATGCAGGAATGAAGAGGGCAGAATGTCATGTCAGTGGCGAAGAGGCCCTTTTTTGCCTTAAGGATTTTTTTAAAAAAATAAAAACTGCTCCGTTTTTTTTCCTCTGGTAGAGCGAAGGACGCTTAAAAAAGGCGTTGGTCCATTTTCGGTGAACTCAGTGTATTTTCGAAAATTGCGAAACGTACAAATAATGTAAGAAAGTATATGTTGTAACACTATTAGTTCCTTGCACGCTTCCACATCCCTTAAAATCCCTCAATTCTTATTTCGGTGTTCTTTGTATGGCAAATGTAAACTACCTTCGCTGCATACATTACCTGTCCTCTGCGAACACATGAGGAAAGATTGTAGATGTTCCATATAAATTTAGAACGTAACGTTTCTGATGCTGAAATAAGTGGGTTTAAAACCATCCTCTGTATAATGCGCTGTGATGACGGTTTATGACAATTTACATGAAACCATCGACTGAGAACTTGATAAGTGTGCTATTGCTGGATATGGTATTACACCCAGGTCTTGCATCCAACAGATTTAAAATGAAAATAGAAACTTGCAAATTACGACATACGAAACTGATTACTGCCAACAACTTGGAAACGCGTTCTAAGCCCTCAAAAACCAGGTTTTTGTATCCTTGGGGTTTAGGGGGCAGGTGAATTGTAGGTATGGGGCATGTAGGGAAATGAAGGGAGACCATTATTGGGACTCAAATCATATTTTTAAAGTTACAGTCGCGAGGCGTCCGGTCTTCGATAGATTAGCCGAGACCAAGCAAATAAAAATAAATTTTAAATATTTGAATTTATGAATGTTAAATATATTAGAGATGTATTGGATAACTAGACAAGAAATATCCATAAAACGTTAAGATCGCAACGGTATCGCTATATTATGTATTATTTCTGCCACCGCACTTGTAGGTTGGCGCAACTCGGATGGGGTCGCCCAAATTATGACACTTAAGGAGAGAGACATGGCCACCAGAAGAGCTTTCACAAAAGGCTTTAAGAACAGCAAGGATCGCTGCTGGAAGGAGATAAACGACGGTGATGCTGGCCTCTGGAGTCGTCCGTATGAGGTGGTATCGGCCAGGCTCAAGGCTCTGTTCAGGCCACCCCGACTTGCCCGGTCTTCTAGGAGATGATGGTTGCTACTTTGATCCTCACCAGAGGGATGTGTTACAGCCTACGGACACACTTTAAGATCTACACGAGGTTCCGCCGGATTCGTTCGACGAACTATCCAAGACATGCGATAAGGTTCAAGATTGCAAAGCCCCCAGCTTGGATGGGGTGCCAAATGTTGCTATTAAGATCGCTATTATTACTCGACCTTATCTATTCTCAAAGGCATATAATGCGTGTGTAAGGGGAATTTTCCCCGTCGTTGGAAGCAACAACGGGGTCCTCCTTCCGAAGGGCGAGAAGCCTCCTAGCATTTCGGTCTATATGTTATGATACTGCAGGCAAGGTGTTAGAGCGGATCATCTGCAAGTAGACTGAGATTGTCTGATAATCCACTTGGCTTCAGGAAGGCAAGATCCACAGTAGTCGCAATTAAGGTCGTCGTCGACATCGCAGGCAAGGCTATTGAGGGAAAACGATGGAGAAAAGGCACAAGTAAGTATTGCTTGCAGTGTTAAAAAAAACCTGGGAGTTCTGAATTACATTACGAAAATAGAAGCTACATTGAGGAAAGGGCCTTAGTATGAAACAGAAACCGGAATAAAGAACTATGGTATCTCGGTTGCCAGATTGTTACGAGACTGCAGTGACATTCGTCTAGAATTGATGAGAGAAATCATGGAAAAATACCGATCAGAGTAGTCAGCCCAAGAACTCTCCTCTGGTGGTTGAATTCGTTAAAGTAATGTAGCTAGTATAAAAAATCCGGCACTATCAGGACTTGAAGCCTAGGATCTCCTGGCCAGCGACGCTGCAGTAGAAATGAATGTTGACACTCAGCCATCCCAGCCGGCCACTGTGTGAAGATACACCGTGTGATTGCCTTTATGGTCCGTTTAGGCCAGTAGACGATTTGTTGAGAGGTTCTAAAACACTTTAGCATTGCGAAGACCGCATTGCTCTGCGAAATGCATTCTTACGCAAGTTATAGAGGAGTCTAAGTCTAAGAAGGGACCACTTTGGCAGATTGGGAAGCAAATGAACGACAGGAAGGGCGATGACATTGCAAGAGAGAGTGATGAAGACATTTATATTTGAGCTAACTGTAAACGGACGCACTGATAAAATGAATGCATGGACGTAATCTGCAGGTATGTTGCCAGCAGTGGCTAAGCAATTGGTCCCTTCTTACAGTAGTATATTTATGGGCAGTAGTCTCAAAAGCTCTGTCGGTAAAGTGAGTGTAGTTGAAGGATAGGGATTTCACGATTAATTTACGTTGTTACGTACGTACCAATATCGTCACTGAAAATAATATTGTAAGACAATATAAATCAAGATGAAAGGCAGATGAGAATATGTGTATGTGTGAGTTAAGTCATCAAACGGACAAACCATAAACACAATTGTAGACAGTAAGCGAAAACCGTGCTAAGTGCCGAAAATGGAATTCCGGGAGTTAAGAAAAACTGTTTTAAAAGGTCGCGGGACTTGACTGATGCGCATTGTCGCCATGCAAATCACGCAGTATTACGCGACAATTTGAAATCCTGAGAATTAAAATTCCAGATAGCCTATTTTACACCGCATTGCGCTTGACACTTTCCACGCTTTTGAGCACAAAACGCAAATTTTCACATTTTGTCACTAGTCTATTTTATTCAGAGTAAATGTAAATAACACGTAATTACATGTAAATAACATTTCTTAAAAAAGAAGTTTTAAAGTGTACTTTCCTTGCGTTCTTCTCATAAATATATCGATATGATGCGAACAATCTACAGTTGTCGGAATGACAAGA